ATTTTCAATGTCGTGTATCCATCTTCTCAGTGGTCGACCCCTGCCTGACCTTCCACAAACTGCATCCTCCATCACCCCTTTTCGAAGCCACCCTCATGTTTGATGTGGCCAAAATGCTTCAAATTTCGGGACAGGATGCTGTTTTATGAGCCAATTCTCCTTGATGTTCAACTCGTTCAGAATTGTCGATGTTTTGCCTCTTCCTGATCCATGGTTTTCTAAGAATTTTTCTATAAAATTTCAATTCAAAAGCTCAAATCTTTTTCCTCTGTGACTGAGTGAGAGTCCAAGACTCACAACTGTAGGTTGCGACAAGAAAAATGCATGATCTCGAGATTTTTACTTTAACCAATTTACTAGTGCTTTGCCATAAGTTCTTCATGCTGTTTAATCTCTGCATTGCTAATGCAAGAAGTCTTCTGACTTCTTTTGAGCAGTCGCCTCTTTTGTTTACTGAAGAGACCAAGTATTTGAAATCTGTGACATTTTCTATTTCTTCATTTTCGATTGTGATATGTGGAAGAAGTGCTGTATTTACTGAGGACCAAATTTTTTTTTTAATTATAAAAAAAAAAAAAAAAAAACTATATACTTCTTTGTTGTGTGTGGGCGTTTTTTTTTTTTTTTTACGGCTAGAATTTTTTTTTTTCTAAACCTTGTACACTGTTGGAAAGAAGAACTGTGTCGTCTGCATTTCTGAGTTCTGGGATAGGATTAACTCCAATTTTTAGTGGATCAAAGCTCTCACATTCCTCGTCGCTAACTGCGTTTCCCATAACATTTTCAGCAGATATGTTAAAGAGGGAAGGTGAAAGAATGTAGCCATGTCTCACTCCTTTCTGCTCTTCAAACCATTTTGATGTTTCACCAGCTACTCTGACCGCTGCTTGTTGTTCGTGGTAAAGAGATCCATTGAGTGCCCCAAATTATTTTAAAATCGCATGCCTCTTATTAAATGCCACAGTTTATAGTGCTGCACACAATCAAATGCATTGTTGTTGTCTGTGAAAACAAGTATGAAAAAAGCAAACTATGCGAGGGTTTCAAATGAAAACACTAACATTTTGTGCGCAATTATAATAACAAGGCCACTGCTTGTAACGGGGTCAGACACTCAGTGATGAACAGTTTGTCGTAGAAGTGAGGCCATTAAAAACCTAACTCCACCCCTAAACATACTTGTCCGACAAGCATGCATCTCCATACTAGACATTTCATTTGCGATGAATTGCTACAGAACGCTGCTCCTCTTTATTACATGTCAACAGTGGGGCGGCCATTTTCACATGCCATTCGACGTCTCGTATTTGTCTGCACCATAATATTCCCTGCTTAACACTCTTGGCATCCTTAACCATAATATTGACAAGGTACTAAATAATATCATAAATGTTGTAATTTCTTCCAAACTGTTAAGGTTTTATTTGAAACATTTTCGTAAAATAGTCAAAATTGGACTAAAACGGTTGATAGCCATTGCTTCCATAAATCGCTGTAATCTTCAGTTTACTGATGTGTAAATACTTTGACAATATACCTTAGCCAACTGTAGATTACTGAGATTTACGCAAGCAACGCTATAAACCGATTTGGTGCAGAATTATGCAGACATAGGGACATAGTTTCGCCTTGGAGAACAAGTAAGTTTTTTAATGTTGTCAGTTTTGTGTTTCAGTTGAAAATATTTATCTGTTTACTTCCTTCTGATCAATCCTACTATAACATGCATCTATTGGGATAGATACAGCGAAATTGTGCAATGTAATGTTTATGTCTTCTCTATTCAAATTCACATTGCTTGATTATACCTGAAATCTCTGAGAAGGTTGCCATTATAAAAATGGAATATCACAGGCCTTGCTAAATGATACAATATTCTATGTAAGAAATGGTGTATTTTATGACATAGTTCTATTCTCTGCAGGCGCCGTCTCTTGTGAAGATGATGTATTTCATTTTGGGTAATGCCACTTTTCCACCAAGGGATTAGCGTAAGCGTGTTTTCCGTTGTCTTTCATTTATTTCTTTAAAGTAATTTTTTTTTATATTGCTAGTCATCCCCTTGCGGGGTGCAATTTTGAAGCCCCACCCTGGCTCCTCTAAGTGTCCGCAATATAGCCCGGCCTTAAATATGATCTAATGACTAAACGCGGTTTCTGGGACCTCACCACGGGTGATCCTCATCAACATGATGGTACTTTGTGGGGGGGGGGGGGGGGGGTTATGGAAAGAACCCTTTTTGACCCCTTTGGAGGCGGTAGGTGATGCTAAATTCATATTTTTATAGACCATTGGGAACTCGATGACTAATGCGGTCATTACAAAAAGTCCAAAATTTAAAAAAAATTTAAAAATTTAAAAAAATTAACTAAGTAACCGTTCTGTGTGAGTTGTTGAAATTTGACATGCTACCTGTTCATAATCATATTCTTGTAAGACATTACTTTAGTGTAAACAAACGCCTAGTTTTAATTGTTGCTTTCTGAAGGATATACAAAAGAAAGAAAAAAAATTATAGACACCGATTCAAAGCAAACAGTTAGCTCGCTTTCTGTTAACCTAGTTCATGGGACTTCTCAAAACATTAAATTGCATTCTATTCTGAAGCATTCCACATTGAGGTGGTCATCTCTGGCATTAGACTTCCGTGAGTAAGATCAACCAAGTTTTTATTCTGTGCGGGATAGGCCATCAAAATAAAAAGAACGCATTGTTATACATGTGAACTAATTTCCAGACAGTCGCCTCAAATGTGCCACTTACTGTATATTCTATGTGGTGGGTGTACATTGATTAGGCTACTTCTTCTTCTTCTTCTTCTTCTTCTTCTTCTTCTTCTTCTTCTTCTTCTTCTTCTCTCCCATATATACCTCATCGAAGTGTCGGGGGAAGATGTAGCATTCGTTGATGAGCACTGTCAAAAGCACTATTAAAACTGGTGGATTAATAATGAAGCAAAGATAAAGGAAATTGGCTGCTTTAGGAAAACAGCAACAGCTGTGCAATTGTAAATTACAAAAGTATAGGACATGGGAATTTAGGACCACGTGTATAAATTCGTGTCAACCCATTCAGGGGTTTTCGAGATATTTGTAAAATGCTGATTTTACGACTTTTCAATCGCACTGTAGTACTTTTTTTTAGGCTGTCGACGATGAGGTTCGAGGTTTGAACGACGGATCAGCGTCATGGCACAGGGGTAGTAACCCATAAGTGCTCCGTTTTTCTTCTAACTCAAGTCTGAGTCGTGTGTATCTCAGCACAGTGCACGGGCTCCGTAACACCGGCAAAGATCCTACAATATTTTGGGTAGATTTTTAGCTCTCAATTTTATCTGGGCAGCGCCTTTAGGATACTCTTTTCGATTTCCAACTGCCAGGGAATTTTTTACATGGGCAAGAATACACACGGATGTCTGATGTCCCTACCCAGAGACCAGAAGAATTTACTTAAAGTCGACTTAAAAAAAAAAAAATCCAAGCCTTCACTGGGGCCTGAACCCGGGACCTCTAGCACTCGTGGCGGACACCCATGTCGACCATGAAATTATACTACAAACAGAAAATCAAAGAGACTCTGTAACCAGTATTGTATCCCCTTATTTCGGTTTGACTGGCCATGTCAAGAACACATACTTAGTTTTGTTGAAGCGATCACTAAATGTCCCTTGGTTCCATGTATTGGATACAGTTTCATGGTAGCTGGAAAGTGGAGTGGAACGGGGAGCGGGCTTGGGAAGGAGAGAAACACTAACCCTTCACAAACAGGTCATCAAATTCGATTATACAAAGTGTTTGCTGAAAAATAAGGCATTGGGCCGAAAGGTACCTATTTCCGAGCCTAGCTGTAAACCACAATTAAACGGTTCAGCTGCACTTTTATGGGCAAACATAGAAAAAGAACTTAATGACTGACCATCCGGGTCAATCTTCACAGACAAATTGCCAGGTGTTTACTGGTAGTCTGGTAGTCTTAGTTTCAGCTTCATAACAAACGGGTCACCCCATCTTTGCTCCGCTCCTGTGCCAATAAAAAATACACAGAATGTTTATCATAGTCCCTTGTGGAAAGATTGACAGACTGCTGCCTTAGCATATCTAGCATAAATTCGCATTAAAGCATACAATAGCCGTCCGAAGTGCTAACACAAACAGTCCAACATTAGAAATGCAGTTCATCATTGATGTTAGCAGAACTTGTCGCCAACAGATCAGCAGTTGCCCACGCGATCAATTTTAATCACATACGGGCACAGCGAACATTGCACGACAGGCATCGCGCCATTTTCTGAATCTACAGTTCACAATACGACGTTGATCACAGTCGAAAAAACATTCCAAATGCAATCCGCAGTTCACAGTGTCACGCCATGCATTCAACTCAGAAGCTGTGCCACGAAACTATATCTAGTCTATAAATGGAGCAAAAATGCTTCGGCCACCGTCCGACAGAAGCAAAAAATGTGTCTCTGCTTCGAACAGTGCCGCTGCCTAGCGTCCATTTTAACCGGAAGTGTTATACAGGTGTGTACTAATCTAGTCGTTGTATGACTATTTTCAGAACTACCTCAAGAAGTATTCGTGCGAGGTGGTAACACGCAATGATCTCTTCAACGAGCTTACTCAGGTAAATATATATGGTGTGCAGTAGTCGTCGTTGTTGCAGTAGTAATAGCAGAAGTAGTAGTAATAGTAACAGGAGTAGTGGTGGTGGTGGTGGTGATGGTAGTAGTAGAAGTAGTAGTAGTAGTAGTAGTAGTAGTAGTAGTAGTAGTAGTAGTAGTAGTAGTAGTAGTGGTAGTAGTACTACTACTACTAGTAGTAGTAGTAGTAGTAGTAGTAGTAGTAGTAGTAGTAGTAGTAGTAGTAGTAGTAGTAGTAGTAGTGGTAGTAGTAGTATTGTAGTAATAGTAGTAGTTGTTGTTGTAGTAGTGGCAATAGTAACGGCGGCAGCAGCAGCAGTGTAGACATTCACGGCTGATATTATCTAATCATTTCCAGCAAGCAAAGGAAGAGGGTCGGGAGATCAAGCTGAAGGAGATCATGGACCCCTGGATACTTCAGATGAACTACCCTGTGGTTAGCGTCAGCCGAGATTTCAACAACCCTAGCGCTTTGCACGTCACGCAGTCCCGATTCCTGTCAGACCCTTTAGCTAAAGATCCCGGGATACAACAGTCACCGTTTAAGTACGTATCTTTGATATATTTTTCTCTCTCCTCCTCTTGTCGTTAATAGTTTCCCTCTATCCGCACCAAGGCTTTATCTTTATTTCAGAGGGGAAGAAAAAGAATAGACTAACTGCCCTCAAAAAGCAAGCCGTAGAAGGCGACTAGTGATGGGTGCATCTGTCTAATGGGCGAGGAACCAGATGTCTCTATATAAATTTACCTAGATCTGTGAAAAGGAGTGTGCACGCACAACTCAAAATCTAGAACAAGTCCAAAGTTAAGAAGTGGGCGAACAACCAGAACTTTTCGCCGGAGTTTACAACTGTTGAACACGATGAAGAACAAGAAGAAAGGCAACTGGGATTTGTTCAGTGTTGATGGGCATAATGAGTGAGCATTGTTAGAAGCTCCTAATTTTTGATGGGGCATAATGAGTAAGCATTGTTAGAAGCTCCTAATTTTTGATGGGGCATAATGAGTGAGCTATGTTAGAAGCTCCTAATTTTGCCTTAGTTTAGCCTGCTGCAATCTTTTTTCTTATTCTTCTTAGTTTTCATCAGCTGTTTGAACTCCGAAGGAAACTTTCAGGTTTTTTTTTCCACCTCTAGATTTTGGTCTTCTTCCAGAACTTGAGTTTGGTGTGTATATCTTTTCAACAGATCTGACTTATTTTAGGCAGACAGTTGGTTTCTCACTTCTCTGGTGGGCGACTCAGACTTTGAAGTGTCACCCATGAACAGTCGATATTTGCTACATGTTAGGAGCTGGCCCCCTTCCAAATGAGGCACTGAAACCCACGCCTTCTCTTCGGCAGGATAGAAAGCACACAGAGCTGGAGTTTTGGCTAGACGAATGGAGACTTTGAGTTGCCCTGTATGACGAGAAAGGCGGTTCATAAAGTACCTGCTGGTTTCTTATGATAATGATGATTGTTTTATTGGCACCTTTACGTCTTTCCTGACGATAGTGTTATATTGTGCTATGAGGAAACATTGGACTCACCGACCATTGCGATGGCGAGTATGACTGGCAAGACCCGCCCGTGTCAAGAAACTTCTTCCACAATGATAGCATGGGATTTCAGGACCATTATTGTTAACATTTGTGTTTAATCCGTTTTTTCTCAGACGCTCGGCTCTCGTCTTTTCTGCAATCATTTTTTCCTTTACTCTCATTCCCTTGCTGATATGCCCTGTCCACACAACATAATGATGATGACGATGTTGATGATGACGATGATGATACAAGATGATCAAACATTGTTCTTTTCCCCGGAATTATCGCTGTTTAAGTAGAGGGACAGTCGGTCACGTTTAGACATATCGCCACTGAAGTCTTTTGGCCTGACATAGACAATGTTATATTGTTTGGTATTCTAGAAAAATGAATTTGCATGAAACTGTTTTGAAAAACTAGAATTAGTGAAACGAAAGTATTTGCGTTTCCAAGCAGTGCTGAGCAAGAAGATTACGTTTCTCATTTTTGTTTTAATTAAATAGGTTTGAAATAATGTGTGTGGTGTTACCTAATATGGCGGCTTCAAACCTTGCACTTCATAGAGAGCTAAAAACAAGTGATCAGAACTAAGGCTTTAGATCTTGTACAGCGGTGTTAGATGGAACAAGATATATTATAGTAATGACTTAGCTTCCGATAATATGGGTTGTTATGAAGTTGAAAAAAATGTTTTAATGGGGTCACTGAAGTTGAATGAAATGTTTTAATGGGGTCACTCCGCTTTGGATAACTTATGTCTGTTTTGTCTGGAACTGGATATGTCAGATAAATATTGTCATAAATTCCAAATTGTTTAGATTAATTGTCTTAAACACAGATTAGCTGATGCATAAGTGAATAGAGAAGACATCCATGTTCTTAGAAATTGATCAGGCCATAACTAGTGATTTCCCGAGTGTTTTACACCATATGGGTGCCAAGCGTATCTTATCCCTGTTACGGTTGCTGATTCTGTCATTTCATCCTCTTTACTCGCTGATTTCTGATTTCTTTCGGCTGTTCATTTACAGATATCGCTGGACCATACCCCTGACCTTCGCCTCAAGTAGGAATGCCAGTTTTACCCAAAACGCCCAGGATATACAGTGGATGTACAAAGAGGAACGCATGAGTAAGCTGACAACAAATAGACCGTTTCTAGAAGTAACAACCCATGTTTGTGTATCAACAATAACAAAATCTACATAAACAATTAACTCATCATCAACATGTAGCAGGTCCTTCACAGAACGTCGCTCTCATCACGGTCCGCCTGAAAGAAACTCGGTCTCTCACCAGCTGTCGTACCTTGTGCACTTTCACATTCTTCTTCTTCTTCTGCGTTCATCCGAAGATGTAATTGCGTTGTGTCCGTATACAGCATGGCTGCGATATTTGCACCTTTCGGCCAACACATCCGACTTCTACGGGCATTTGTTGACTGGGTTAGCCTTCACGATTGCTTTCACATTCAAGGAATCACTTAAATCTGTGCTCATCTTTGTGTTGGTCGGCCCTGCCCCTCCGTCATGCTACCATGTCTTATGCTATCATTTTTTTTTTTCAGTCCGCCTCGGCGCCTGATATTGCCAAAAATATTTCAGCTTCTTAGAGAGGATGCTGCTTGTTACCAATCTTTCCTGATTGTCAGATCTTTTAGAATGTCATTATTTCTTTTCTTCTTTTTCCATGGTATTCTGAAAACCTTTATAAAGCATTTCAACTCAAAAGACCCTATTTTTTTTCCTACAACTCAGATCCATACGTTGCTACAAGGAAGATACATGCATCTGAATATTTTAACTTTGATTTCATTGTTGACGTTTAACCATGGACTGTTCATGCTGTTCAGTTTTTGTATTGCTATAGCCAGACTCATTTTGATTTTTTTTTTTTAATTGAATTTGGAAAAGAAAATAATGGAATCCTTTCAAATGAAACTGGCAAGCCCAGTACACTCCGGCATTAGCTGCCTGGTTTATGACGTTCAGTACAGCTAGATACTAGCCTGCTGATCTGGAAGTCGTGGGTTGAAATCTGCATGGTGGTGGATTCTCTTTGAACATGTTACTTGGTACCCATATTGATTTAGCCATAAATGTGTAGGAGGTGAAGTCATGGGAAGTTAAGACGGTCGGCGTGATATTCACCACATTACTCATCGCAATTTATTTTTTTTCATCATCATCATCATCAGTTTTCGTTATGCCTAGTGACACATGAGGCTTCAGATAGGACTTCATATGCTCTTCTGTCCTGCGCAATCTTGAGTGCAGTTTTCCATGTCAGAGATGCCGCAGTTTGGTCACTTTCCATCGTTTCGTCTCCATTTTGTTTTATAAAATCTTTGTTTAGCCTGATAATGCCATGGGTCATTGGTGTGTACAGTGACCTCATCTGTTGTCTGTGACCTTTGTTTGTTTAGATTTACAAAGGCAGACAACGGATTTAAAATGTATTTAATGAATATAGAAATCATTATTTATTGTTTCTTTCTCTAGGGAAAATTATATTTAAGTGCAAATTTTTGTCTGCATATTTTTGTTTCACATATGATCTGATGTTTACTGCACATTCAGGCACACTGATATCACATGCACATATGGGACGGGAAGGCAGAGAGAGAGAGAGAGAGAGAGAGAGAGAGAGAGAGAGAGAGAGAGAGAGAGAGAGAGGAAAATGGCACATAGATGGACTCACAGAAAGCGTAGGAGAGAGAAAAAAAATGCGACAAATACAGAAGGGGAGGGGGTGGAGATACAGAGAGAGAGAGAGAGAGAGAGAGAGAGAGAGAGAGAGAGAGAAGAGAGAGAGAGAGAGAGAGAGTTGGATAAAGACAGTTCAATGCTGGTTCTGCTACTAGGGGTGAACGTGTGGAACTAGGCTTTCTCCCATCAAGCAGAGTGGATAGTTCCTTTCATCTACGTCACTATTGCCACAACACACCAGGAACATTTTCACAAGTAACTGGTGCCAGTTTGTAAGTGAGGATGACATGCGCATTACTCCTTATTTTAAAGTTCAGACTGTACATGCATAGTTCTCATATATATATATATATATATATATATATATATATATATATATATATATATATATATATATATACGTGTGTGTGTGTATTTTATTTCTGGGAATTTCTGTTGACGATCCGACAGAAACGTTTAATCTGGAAACCCTGCTGCCGAACTGCAGTGACCCTGACGGCTGGGTCATTGCCAATGTGGAACAGCAAGGCTACTATCGTGTCAACTACCAGATAGGGAACTGGTTGGCTTTGGCCGGCAACTTAAGAAAGATCACACAGTAAGTACAGACTTAGCATGTTGTTCCTTGGTCACCACTAGCGGACATGGTCAATATTGCCTATGCCAGTGATAGAGGGAGTAGACTGATGTCTGATAAAGACACTCTTTCCGACAGAATATTGTTATCCTGTGTGATTTATGAGTTATAAGTTGGCTTGTCTTGATGGCACCCCGGACACGTCTATAAGTGCTCAGATCTCCCTTTAACATATTCATCAGCGTCCCTCAGTTTACAGTACCAGTCCTCTGCAGGTAAAGTCTTCTTGTACTTCCGGTCTGCCTCTTACGCTTGGCTCTGCCGATAAATAATACGAAATGGGCAAAACTATAGAGTGTATCATACACAACACTGATACCCATTTAAGACTGGGGTCGACCTGAAAGCCAGGGTCTTTATATTGAAAGAAAATTTTGCTCTGTCAGAATCTGAATTCAGCGTCTAGTCGCTAGACGACTGCTGCTTCTGTAAGTGTATGTGTATATATAAATATAAATATGTGTGTAAAACATGCATTCTCACGCGGGTATGAACACGTGTATGTATGCATAAGGAAATTATTTATGTACGTCTGTACCTGTGTGTGGCTGTGTGCGTGTCTATATATATATCGTGCCTACCAGCCCATTCCCCCCACAACCCTGAACAGGAACTTGAGTACTGGTACAAGCCACTCGTTTTAATGCAATTAACACTTTTTACCTAATATATTCGGCACAAAGAAACCTAGGCCGCAGTTATAGCCGTAGTTATAGTACTTTACTAGCAGTTCTCGTATCGTTATAAATGATGTTGATAAGCTGGTCTAAACAATGTGTAATAATCTTATCACTCTGAAGGCGTTAACAATGTGGACACCTTTCATATACCGGTCCTCTGCACTAAGGCAGAACAGACCAGTCTATGAGCTCTAACATTAACAACAACACCTACACGACATAGGACGAAGATACGGTAATTCCATAGACAGTGGAGTTTCACAATGGCTCAATCCACTGTTAGTGTATAGATCCCGCAGTGAGGCATCGAATGTGGGCTGCTTCGGTCAGGAAATTCGTTCATGGACGTTTCTGTGTGGTTGCTGAGAACAGCCATGAATGCCAGAGGAAAGTGCCCTAAGTAGAACATTATCGTTCACACTTCGGAAGCGTTTTTCTGCTTGTAGCGAGGTTAGTTGTGTATAAAGTTTAAAGAGCATTTACTAGATAATCTTTCGATAGATCTCCGTGAATATCTTTTGAGAACCACAAATAGATAATTGTACAATTGGGCGCTTCCTGATACAGTGTACTAAAGACACAAAGAATTGGCAAAAAACGAAACATATGAATGTGGAAGAATACCTTTCTGATAAAAAGAGATAACCTCTGATAGAGACAGGAAATACAAAAGAACAATTTGTTAACATTGGGAGCAAAAAGCATTCAAGCCAGTAGAAAAAAAAGTAACATCTGCACACAAGTGAACAATTAACAATCTTTAGACTCTCTCCTCAGTGCATAGTAAGTTAACATTCCACTTTATCAATACACTAAAAATAGACCATAATAATAAAAGCACCCGAGCAATTTGTTATGTCAAGGATGTTTACTATAGAGGGTCTTCAGCATTAGCTCTTTGAAAAAAAAAAAAAAACAGTAGAGATATTTGTTGTAGCAGCTACGATACTATATCTGGGCGCTTTTTGTCTAACAAAACAGATAACCGCCCACCTCTTAGTTATCTGGCAGTGGGTATACTATCTTGTGCCCTAAATAAGGCACTGGTCCCAACATGGGATAGTTACTACAGTTACGAGAACAAAGAGTGTCAACATATTTTACCCAAAATATTTACCGGTCTTCTGCGGAAAATGCCATTTTCGCCCGATATTAATGAGTGTGCCGCCAAGACAGCATTAATGAATATCTTGAAGTATTCGTTTATTGCGTGGATTTTTGTCATGGTACGGGGCGTCGCAGGTCGACCCAGCCTAAAATAGGTACAAGGATGGGCTGTCCTGGGAAAGTAAAGACAGCCGGCGTAATGCTGACCACATCACCCACTGAGTGCTGATGGTCTGTAAAAATATGGGCGCTCTTCCCATATGCCCGATGTGCCTAAAGGCGTGGAAAGGGATCTTTACTTTAATTTAGTTTACTTATTAGTTTATTTAATATTTGCACTACTTTACATACAAGAAGACTAACATTTAGCGTTATTTATCATCATTGTCATCATCATCATAAACATCATCGTCATAGTCCCAAACCACTGGGTGTTGTTGAGTCACCAGTCACTCTGATCAGCCTCCTCCAGTGTCAGTCAGATACAATGGACTGGATGTTTCCACATTTGGGACCTAACTTTTTAAGCCATATGATGTATTTAGGTCTCTCTTGATCTGCCTCTTCTCCTGGTCCCCTGTTTGGAGCCTTGGGGTATAATTACAGAGAGGAGGGTAGATCTTGGTGAGTGTCCGTACCATTACATTTTCCATCTTGTCATTGTTGGTCAAAGGTTTATAGTTGCCGGTCAGTTCAGCTATGATAAGACGAACTTCGTCTTTTAAGATGCGGTCTCTGTATGATATAAATACCAAGTATATGTCGGCAAGACGTCTTTCCCAATACTGTACTTTCCTTTCAGGTTCAGAAGTTATGGTTTACGTTTCACAGTGTATGTAAAGCTACTGAAAGCTAATGCACGTGTTTAGACGAGTTCACACGTCGCCACCTTTTCGTCTTTCCAGCCCATAGTGTTATATCGTGCTATGGAGATACATGGCAATCAAATCCCCTCTGTCCCCCTACCAGGGACTCCCTACCAGACCAGCTAAGGGCTGGTCTGTCCTGCTTTAACATCACGCTTTTGTGTTGCATTTCCTCCTTCTAGGATAAGACTACTGATATATCCCCCCCCCCCCCCCCCCCCCCCCCCTGCTCTCCACCCGAAGCCGCTGGCACAATGTGAACCGTCGGAGTCGGTATCTGCATCCAAAGTCTGGAGTTAAAACAGGACCAACGTTTTCAAACAAACAATTAAACAATTATCAATGGTTGTCACCTCAGATAGCAAACAGCTATTATATCCCATATTGATGGTTTTTGTGGTTTGAGGTTTGAACAACGAATCAACATCATGGCACACTGGTAGTAACCCATAAGTGCTCCGTTCTTCTTCTAACTCAAGTCTGAGTCCGAAGAAGCTCAGCAAGTGCACTCTCTTAGTGGCACCGGTAAGGATCCTGCAAAACTTTGGGTAGATATTTAACTCCAAATATTTGCCCGGGCAGCGTCGTTGGGCAACTCTTTTCGATTTCCAACTGCCAGGGGATTTTTTTTTTTTTTTTACGTGTCGCAACAATGCAGACAAGCGTCTGATCTCACTACCCGGAGACCGGGGCGACTACTTAAAGTCCAAGTCCACGTGGAACAAATCGCAGCCCTTACCAGGGAGTGAACCCAGAACCTCTAGCTCTCGAGGCGGGCACCATGCTTCGATACCACCCAGCCCCCATCCCATGTTTATGATAAAGCCTGAAGCAGGAAAGTTAAACGTAACACAAATGGCACACTGAAACATAGCACTGCACTTACATCCGTCAACATTACACAGGATCTGTAGACCTCCCCAGTATAACTAGATTATCCGGTTGAAGGGGCTTTCTATGATTTGCTGCTATGAATCGCATCCGCATAGTGACTCGTTCACTTACTAGTGTCAATCTATCAAACTTCATCCATGTAATAAATGAGCAAGGGGAACAAAAATGGAGGGGGGGGGGGGATTTACAAAATAGTAAACAGGACGTACGTCATACATACGAAAAGAGTATAAGGTCAAAGACATATGAGATGAGTGTCAGGTCAAAGACATATGAGATAAGTGTAAGGTCAAAGACATATGAAATGAGTGTACGCTCAAAGGCATATGAGATGAGTGTAAGGTCAAAGATGAATGAGATGAGAGCAAGGTCAAAGACATATGAGATGAGTGCAAGGTCAAAGATATGTGAGACGAGTGCAGTGTCAAAGATTTATGAGATGAGTGCAAGGTCAAAGATATATGAGATGAGTGCAAGGTCAAAGACATATGACATGAGTGCAAGGTCAAAGATATATGAGATGAGTGCAAGGTCAAAGATTCATGAGATGAGTGCAAGGTCAAAGACATATGAGATGAGTGCAAGGTCAAAGACATGAGATGAGTGTACGCTCAAAAACACGTGAGATGAGTGTAAGGTCAAAGACACATGAGATGAGTGTAAGGTCAAAGACATATGAGATGAGTGTAAGGTCAAAGACATGAGATGAGTGTAAGGTCAAAGACACATGAGGTGAGTGTAATGTCAAACACATATGAGAGGAGTGCAAGGTCAAAGACATGAGATGAGTGTAAGCTCAAAAACACGTGAGATGAGTGCAAGGTCAAAGACATATGAGATGAGTGCAAGTTCAAAGATATATGAGATGAGTGCAAGATCAAAGATTCATGAGATGAGTGCAAGGTCCAAGATTTATGAGATGAGTGTAAGGTCAAAGACATATGAGATGAGTATAAGGTCAAAGACACATGAGATGAGTGCAAGATCAAAGATTTTTTAGATGAGTGTAAGGTCAAAGACATATGAGATAAGTGTAATGTCAAAGACATATGAGATGAGTGTAAGGTCAAAGACATGAGATGAGTGTAAGCTCAAAAACACGTGAGATGAGTGTAAGGTCAAAGACACATGAGATGAGTGTAAGGTCAAAGACATATGAGTGCTAAGTCAATGACAATTATACTGTCCACTCCAGGTGATCGGAATAGTAAACAGGGCACAGATCATCAACGATGCCTGGAGCCTGGCCAAGTAAGATGACTTGATTATTGATATTTGTTTATTTAATCTGATGATTCAGATTTACGACTTATCTTTTGCAATCTCGTGTTGTATGGTTTGTGTATCTGTGTGTGTGTGTGTGTGTATGTATGTGTGTGTGTGTGCGTGTGTGTGCATGTGAAGTTTGTTTGTTTGTATGACTCAACCATAATTAGGAATTATAATGCAGTTCTTTATAACTCAACTATAATGCAACATAGGAGAAATTATTATCTTGCCTCTTAACGGCATTGCTATGTGCATTGGGTTTGCAAAAAAAAAAAAAAAAGACTTGGAACATTGCGGTGATAAAACTGATAGAGAAATTCATATCTAACAGATTAACAAACAATAGATAGCGATGAGGGTGTATATATATATATATATGGAGACATGGTTGACTGGATCCCCGTGACCTTATTTTATGGCGGTGACATAAATGTCTGGTGGACACACAAGTGACTTATATAGTACAGTGTGAAAAGGTCAAAGCGAGGCGGGAAAGGGGGAGGGGGGGGGGGCACTAATGTGAACTTCCATTAGATGTTTAAAGAAACATCTTATGGTCGATGTACATGTGCACATTGTTTCAAGTTGTTTATATTTCTAAGTCTATTTTTTTTTCTTTCGTGTTATTTCATTTTCAGCCCCAGCCCCCCCCCCCTCTTCCCCTAATCCTCTTTTATGTCACCTTCTGTGTAGTTTTTGTTGATGGTTTATGCTGATTTGTTTCGAATGACGACGAAGAGCTTTGTAGTCACAAGCCGCGATGTGTTAATTTACTGTGGATGTTTCCTTCAGGGCTTCCTACATTCCTATCTACGTCGCCCTGGAGATGATCGACTACCTGGACAAAGAGCTCGATTATCTGCCATGGTTCACAGCTTGGCGGGAGCTGAAGTACATGAAAGCCGCCTTGGCTTTCTCTTCACTGTATGGGGCATTTGAGGCAAGTACCAGGTCGCTAGAGTGCCCTTCAAAAGTGGTTCCTTCACACTATAGCAAATAATAATAAAAAAAAAAAAGGTATAACGTAAAGGTAAAGTCGGGAGATATGAACCAGCGTCATTGCACACGGTTATAAACCATAAGTGCGCTGCCACCAGTACTGACAGTTGATAAGTAACTGTCCGCCTGTGTCACCGTCCGTACGTAACTCTGTAGCTACAGCGACTTTCCTCCATTTACCACAGAGTGTCACTCTGATACCCATGTCCTAGAGGCTGGCTGAACCCCAGGAACCGACCGGTTTTGAACACCGGCAATGAAATATAGTCATAACCCAAGCAGAGGACATGTGTATAATGAGTTACACAACAATAATATAATACTACAACTACATAGGGAATGCATTGACAGACCACGTGCACCAATTACAAGTTCTATCTTGAATCAAGCAAATAAAAATTAAAAAAAAACCATTACATTCAACAAAACTATGTGCTTCACTGACAACATTACATTAATAACCAACCATCGTGTTCACACAGACCGTGTGCTACCAACTCCAGCTAACCTAAAATCAAAGATCTTCGAGCAAAGATACAAACTGATATCAAGATCTTAACAGAGGTTAGCAACTGGAAAAAAAATTAGATCTAATACCGTCCTTAAACTATTGTACGTACAACCGCGTTAATCAGAGACAACTCTTTTATCTCTGCTCAGTTGCCCGAACCCACGTGGATAAGCCCATGTGAGGTGCCATGACCAGTGGATGGGATCTCCTGTCGCTAGGTAACCAGTGGGGACAGAATGCTAAAGCCAAAAGGTCGCTTTTCCTGTGCGTCTGCCCTTTATAGCCTTTTGAGAAGAGTTCTAAGACTGCCAGTTCTAATTCGCAGGTTCACTTGAACCAAAATTGTAGCCTTTTCCATCCGACTACATGCCTATTAAAAGCGTGTAGTTTGAAGTTCTGAGACTTTCCCGTTACTCAGTTATCGGTAATAGCAAGAACAAGATTCATATATAATATTCAATACACAAAAATGGAGGACATGTTTTACATCTGCAGATACACTCACTGAGCGGACTGTACATTGATTATAAACTTCTTGTTGGAGATTTTTTTAAATAAGAAAGAGAAAAAAAAAATGAAAAACTTGCTAAAGATGGCGTAAAAGGCATACATGGCTAGACCAATATTTTATAGACCACAAGATGGGCGCCATAAGTTTTTGAGTTAAGTAACAATATACCAAGTGAATACAACACCGAAGTTAAACCAGATTCAAGGTAGTCATGACAGTGCAGGAGGATATAACATCTGGTCAGTTACCGAGGGAAGCAAAACACATCATCATCCCAACAGTTCGAAACATGATCCCTAAAAAAACGACACAAGAAGCAGATTTGTGTTAAAGAAAAACAGTCAGGCTGATAAAAGAAAGAAGAAATTTCAAACAAGCAGGAACAGAAACAAACAGCAAAGTATCTAGGAACTACTACATGAGAGACATGACAACAACTATCATCTCCGTGTGGGTTCCAGGCCCTGCTTTATGGAAAACAAGAATAGACCCACTGCCTACCCAAAATCATGTCGTAAGAGGCGACTTATAGGGAGTTTCCTTCGAGGTCGGAGTGTATCTCTCTGAGTGGCAAGGAACCAACAGTCTGCAACAAATTAGTTAGATCTGTCAAACGGATGCACACGCAATGCTTAAGTTATGGAAACAGGACTGCAGTCCAGAAGTGGACGAACAACCAGAAACTTTCGCGGGAGTTTAAAGCTGGTCAACGCGCAGAAGGAGAAGAAGACAAGAGCCATCAGAGAAGACAATAAACTGTATAATGAACACCTGAGATAGTAGAATATAATAGCTCAAGATGCAAGGGAAAGACAGAGACATATTTAAATAAACTGCAACATTAACAAGCTGATTCACGCTATAATTTAATGCAGTAAATGGTAAAAACAGTAACACATTAAAAGATAAAGGCAAACGTGAGAGGATCGACTTCATTGCACTAGGTTTTATCCCATATGACTCAGTCTCTCTCCGCAGAAGAGATAGCTGCCTCTCGAGAGCGTCACACAGATAACGACCTACGTAGCTCCGGCGAAGAGCCAAGGGATCTTTGTAAAAGTTGTAGTCGTGAACTGAAGGGTGCCGCCCTGAAACGAACCCACGACCTTGGGAGCGCGCGACAAACGGCGTGACCACTTCGCTACGTCGACACCCTAACACAGAGAAACCGAAGACATACTAGGAAGATGGAAATAATACTGTAGAGAAATGTATGGGGATCCGACAAGATGTTCAGAAACAACATTTGAAAGTGATGATAAAGAACCAGAGCCTTTACTGGATAAGGTGTGATCAGCAAAACACAGTCCGAACAAAGAAAAGTCACCAGGTTGCGACGAAATACCAGCAGAACTAATTCTGGCAGAAGGAGAGGCCATCGTCATCGCGCCATCGCGCTATACATGAAGATCAGGGACAGTGGCTTTTGGCGTAAGGCGTGGACAAGAAAAACCTGTATCTCTCTCTGAAAAAGAATGAAAAGAAAAGTTGAAGTTATGCTCCAACTATCGTACCATGGCATTATTGAAACATGCTAGGTTCTCACGAATCCTCTTACTCTTGATATCAGTCAAAGGAAACTACAATATGAGCTACATGAAGCACATGCGAGTTTCAGAGTAGAGCAACTAGAGAACACATTTTTCATATTAGAATAATCTTTACAGAGAAAACAACGTAGTGCTCCATGTGTGTTTCGTCGATTATGGCAAGGTCTGTGATTGTGATCAACATCATAAACTGGGAGCATCATGAGAGAAAAGGGTTGGATTTAGTTCAAAGTTTATATCATGAACAACAAGCAGCCATCAGAGCAGGGGAGTGAGGCAGGGGTCATTCTGTCACCATACCTATTCAATATATATGTATAATTCATAATGGACAAATTAGTGAAAGTTCTGATCTGATCATAAGTGGTGGCAATTATTTTCCGGAACTTCACTGTGCAGATAACACAGTTCCCCTTTCTAACAATATAAGGGGGATAACACATTTAATCATGTCTGTCCAAAAACACAATCACGATCCAAACCTGCGCTCTTGAATTTAAAGAAAACAAACATAACGTCCATTTAAAAAAACTGCTTGCATCAAAGGAAACGATAATGAGACATTTTAGTCTTAGTCTATAGGAATGATATAATCACAAGGTGGACTGAATACACAGAAGCCCTTTTTTTGGGGGATAACAGGAGCATCAAATCAGAACTGTGTAATCTTCACGATGGACCAAACATTTTACAACATAAAATGGAGAGCGTTATAAAAATATGAAGCACGGAAAAGCCGCAGGTCCTCATAAAATATTAACAGGAATGATAAAATCTTCATCCAGCTTTGCTGTTGATAGCATCACTTACATTTGTAACGACATTTATGAAATAGGTACATTCAACAGATTTAAAAACGTATATTTTCATCACATTGACCAAACAGTTGAATGCCGTTGAGTGTGAAGAATACAGAACAATTAGTTTAATTACCCATATAGATTAGATGCGTAATCTTTACAGGACGTTGCACAACCAACCCCAACAGCCCCTGGCTGTTGTGTGGTTTTTCTAGGCAAATTTACTTCCCGTAGTTTGCCATTGCCCCTGGACCATCGGCTTTCTTGATACCACTGTCGTAACCAACGCAAGGCGCATGGCCCACAGCTGGGATCAAACCCGACATCCTGGCATTACGAAGCGTTCGCATCGACGTAGCCACAGAGCCGACAATTAGCCATAAAACTAAAATAATTCTCAGGGCTATACAAGTAGCAATTCAAAATAAGATAAATAATGAAGTGTCCGACAAACATTTCGGAAGAGTGGCACTAGGGAAAGTCATAATTTGTCTAAAGATGCTGACAGAAAATACATAAAAGTACAGTTAAGTATTTATGCATGTTTCAAAGATTTGAAGAAGGCCTTTGATGGAGTTCATCAGGAAAAGCTAATTGGCTGCCTCAAAAAAAAAAAAAAAAAAAAGATGTAAATGATATCAGAATTATTAGTAACCTACACTTGGAACTAGGGCTGTACCGTTGAGTGATTTTCACTATTCGGCCGAATACGAATACGAATAGTGTATCATCATCATCATCAGGTGCCTTGCCGACTGGCGTGGGCGATTATGACTCACCACAATCTGCGATCTGCTGCAGCATGTATTAGTTCGTGTGCTGACTTACCTCCATGCCATGCAACAAAACTGTCAAGAATGTCCTTTCGTTGTCTTACTCTATCCCTCCTTCCACAGATCTGTTCCATTTTCCCTCTTCTCATAAACTTTTCGGCCGAATACCAAATATTCATTCGGTCCACTATTCGGCCCCGAAGCGAATACGAAGCGAATATTCGGTACAGCCCTACTTGGAACAAATAGCGACAGTTAGACACAACAACACCACCCCACGACAGATAGATAAGAAGCAGTACGACAGGAATGCATATTATTCTTTTCAACTTATATTCAGAAAACATTTTTTAAACAAGCTAAGGACTGAATATTAATGGAAGAACAATAACAAATCTGAGATACGCGGATGATACAGTGCTACTAGCAGATAGCGAGCAGGATTTGCAACTAGTTGATCAAGTCAGCAGGCGGAGTTGCAGAGTATGGTTTAGATATTACCATTCGAAAAACAAAAACTACGGTAATTAAATATGGACAGGAGCGGCAAACAGTAAATATCACAGTAAACGAAGAGCTATCAAAACAAGTAGCCATTTCATCCTATCTAGGACACGAAGGAACAGATGATGGAAGAAGCGAAACAGGAATCAAAAAAGGAAAAGGAACTGATAAAACTGTCTTCAATAAGGTGCGCAAGTTACTGACAGCTAGAGGGATAAACAACACACTAAACACGAGGGTCGTCAGGTGTTATGTTAACTTAATCCTGCGATATGGTTCAGAAACATGGACAATAAACACCAAACCACAAATTCGAATTCAGTCTTTGGAAATGTGGTTATATAGAAGAATAGGTTGTATTTCATTAGGCGGGGAGGGGGGGGGGGGGCAATACAAAGGTTCTGGAAAGACAACACATGAAAAGAGAATTGCCGGAAGAAATAAAAAAGCGAGAAAACAGAAATAATATGGCCCCAATAAAAGACGTAACGCGGTTTTAATAACCATACTGGAGGGAAAGAAAGAAGGCAAGAGAGCTAGAGGTGGGCAACGATACAAGAGGAACGACAAAATCAAGAAATGGACGCGCAGCAATAGGAGAGAGAGAGAGTGAGTGGACAACCAGAGCAAGAGGCAGAGAAGGCTGTAGATGCATTGCTGCAAAAATTCACTGTTCAGACGGTACCTGATTGAGCTTTTAAATGAATTTAAAGTGCTTCGTCTCTGACACCGTTAGCATCGTGGAGTTCTTTAATAGGTACATTCTGAGAGCGTTAAGGAAAAAAAAAAATGTGTTGCTCTCAATCATAGACCACTCACTGTCGTCTCATAAAGCTTTTATCTCATGTAGGGCACAGTTATGATAAAGGTGTAATGTAGAAAAGTAAGACTATATACATTACATGATTCTTCTCCGCTTGATTGTACACAGGAATTCATGAAAACCATATTGGGTGAACCGTTTCTGCATTTCGGGATAATGAACTCTTCGGAGAACAATTTGAAGAACCATTCAGAGATGTAAGTCTTGATGGCTGTCTGTCGCTTGGCTCATACTCCTTCTTGACTGGAATATTGTCACCTTGTGACTAGGACATGCTGAGAAGCCGGAATCATTGATCCACCGGCTTGCGACTGTCTTGGTTCTGTTGATACGGTCATGCTCGTAGTGACACTTCCCCACTGTGATCCAAATCTGTTTCTGAAAATTCAAACCTAAAAAAAAACTTTACCACGTTCACCCTGTCAAAAAAAAGGCTCGCCATCCAAAGAAGTCACAGCCGACAGTTTATCATAACACCTCAATACCTTTCCATTAGGCTTCCGTTTGATAGCCGCTTTTGTTGGATGTCCGCACATTGTGTGTTATCATTCGCTTTAATTTTCTTATTGGCCATGTGTGTTTTGTTCTATCCAAGTTTGTTATAACCGAAAGGTTAGAGAACATGTCTGGGGTATTTATGAATAATGATCCTAGTCCTCTGTGTATAATGTTTATTTAGAATTAGTTATATTCAAAAGCGGGATATATTATGTAAATTGTATATGATTCGTCTTCACCGATCTGAGATCCTGCTCTGTTATGTGGATGTCTTGTTACTTGTTGGTTTCTAGTATGAAATTAAAATACCTGTTGGTTTTATTGTATATTTTCACATCCTGGTGCATTCGATGTCTTTTGTATTCGTGAACAAATCGTGCACACCGACAACAACATGGATGGACTAGTTATCTTTCCCTTCAAATACCCAACAGCAATTTGTTGATAATGAACTCATGACAACAACTTCCATGCTAGTTGCATAGTCGACAGGTTATTCTTATTGCACATCGAACCATTCAGTCCATAAGTGCTTGGATCCCCTCCTCAGTAAATCCCGCAGCGCTTAGCTGCTGACGAGACCAGTTCTGTTTTGGTTTCTAATTCTTCTTTGGCTTCCTGCATAGTGCTATTGTCTGACTAAACTCCTTTTAATTTTCATTTTCCAAAGTCTGGTCATCACTTGGTCTCTCAGACGTCTCATTCACGTACAGAATTCGGCATGTCAGCCTGGTCCACGGCTCGTCCACCCCTCACAGTATTTATTCTTACCTGCAAGCACATCAGCTTGCTCATTTCCACGCACACACGCCATGTATGCCTTGGCACAAAAATAACAACCACTGATCTTTACCAGCCTAGACCGCCTCAGAGCGGCTTATACCTGTCTTCACATGCAGTCCAGCTTCAGTGAACATATATGAACATACAAAGCTGAACAGGACTAAAGTTTGTGAACCAAATGTTTCCTGATCGTAGGATGTATCATCATACAGAGTGCAGAATTATATTAATATTTCAAACATTAATTACCTTTGACAACAAGAATGTTGCTGTTTGTACCCTTGATTGTCACACAACAACACTCATACAACTATATAATAGGACTTGACTGTTTTAAGGTTGACGTTCAACTGCGTGAGAATACCCACTCAAGCAGTCATCCTGGGTTGTTAAAGAACGGACACGCAAACTCATTGATCACAAATAATCCAGAGAGATAAAGGTTGTGATTATTTTAAATGAGATATATCAAGCAGTATACTGTATTCAATTTCAACCTTTTTTAACGGTTTATTTTTAAAAATTTTGTAAAACTGGTTATATGTCGTCACTTACCTGATGTTTTTTTGGTTTCTGTTTGCTACATGAAGACTCACGAGATCTCTTATAGCAGAACATGGGTGTGATTTCAAAAGTCACGAGTGTCTAAATCCGTCGGTCAGGCTATATCGAGACTGGAGGATGATGCCCCAAGAAAACAAGTGAGTACCCGACATACTGGTGGCCTGATAGATGCCCGCAGAAAACAAGTGAGTACCCGACATACTGGTGGCCCGATAGATGCCCGCAGAAAACAAGTGAGTACCCGACATACTGGTGGCCCGATAGACCCATACTCTTGGTTTCCAATTCACATCCCACAGATTTGTTTTGTCTCTGATATAGATCTAGTCTGAGGTGGATACCAGTTAATCTCGTAGAAAGGTGTGGCGGCTAGCATGAGCAACCACCGAGCGCTGATTGGTTAATACCAGTTGTTTTCAACGCCCAGTTTGTGCACCGTTGATGATATAACCTCTGTCCATGTTTATTCCAACATGCATTGGTGCATTTCTTGCCAGCTGGTACGCTGGTCATTACCTTTTACGACAGCCGGACCAGGGGTGTAGATCGAGCTGAGGGAGTTTGAGTGCGGTTTTTGAACGCTTTCCACCCATTCAGAGTGGATACTGCCTGTTGCTATTTTCTGAAGCATGTTCATGGAGTTTGATACAGTTAGTGCATGTGTGGCTGTTTGCTCTGCTGCCCATGCTAATGTTACAGAAGCAACTGATATCTCCATGTTAATGCTCCATGGTAATGCTCAATGATAAGCGCTGCTGCCCTCTTGCATTCGTTTCCAACAATCTGTGTGCTGTGTATGCCCATGCTGACATTGATCCGCACTTCACCGGCCCATATACTTAAATGATGACGTCTAATTGTTGTTAAAGCTAATCTTTTAATGCTTCTACCACTGTGTTTACCGCAGCAGTGATTTAACTCCCGCAGTACTTCCCCATTGGGATGACAACCTTAGAATGCCTCGCATGTATAATGGTGTTTTAGTCACCTTCTTTTCTGTGACTGATGTCTTCTAGGTCTCATACCTGCTGGATTAAATCTTCAGCCTTGGTCATCCAGGAGCGGTCTATTAGTAGAGGTACCTTGGAATGGCTGCTGCATCGGAGGACTGAGTATGCACTGATGTCGATTATGATGACACAACACATGTTGATCAGTTCTAAAGCATGTATTAAACTTTGTTTCTTTTGTCGTAATCATAATCATTATTACCTGTCACTCGGATGCGTGGTCTCGAGTCTGGCGTCCGCCTCAAGGCCTGCAGGTTGCAAGTTCAAGCCCTGGTGAAGGCTGGGGTTTATTCACGTGGACTTCTAGTAATTTCCTTTTGTCTCTGGGTAGTAAGATCAGACGTCTGCGTGTAATTGGCAATTGGGAATCAACAAGAGTAGCCTAACGGCGTTGCCTGGACACAAATTTGAAGTTAACATATCTTTCCCAAAGTATTTCACGATCCTCGATGGTGTCACGGATTCCGTGCACTGAGCCGAGATTGTTCAGATTCAGGCTTCATTCGGAAGTAGAACGGAGTAGTTATGGGTTACTACCCTTTGCCGTGATGTTGATCCGTCGTCTACACGTAAACGTAAACTTTCAGATAAGACGTTAAACGTCTTAGAAAGACACAGTGTACCGTGTAGCGCTGGACCAGTAGCCTAACACCCCCGTGTGGGTTCCGGGGCCCCATTGTGGGGAAAACAAGAATAGACCCACTGCCTCCGCAAAAGCATGTCGTAAGAGTCGGAGTGCATCTGCCGGAGAGGCAAGGAACCAACAGTCTGTATTCAAGAGAGATCTGTAAAACTGATGCACACGCAACACTCAGGTTCTGGAGCAGGACTGCAGTTCAGTAGTGGACGAGCAACCAGAACCTTCCGCCAGAGTGTACAGCTGGTAAACGTGAAGAAGAAGAAGTAGCCTAGCTTTAGTAATTACGTATGGACGTATGAGATATTCAATATCATTAATACATGTTCTTATCTGACATCCTCATTCTATCACATAAGATGTTTTTGGATGGTGTAGAACATGCATTTATAGATGTTGATGTTGCATACTAACCACAGAAGGAAACCTTTAGATCTCCCGCTTGTCGATGTATTGGGTGCAAGATTTTGTTTCCATAACAACTGATAGCCTCATTTCCCACTAGCCTCAGGTGGGAAAATTGGCTGCTTTCTTCAGGCATATCATCATAATTGTATTAATTTTACATGGCTGAGTCATTTTTGTATCCGTGTATTCAGAATTCCCATGGATATCAGAAGGGCCGTCTATTGCCAAGCCATAGCCTTTACTTATTGGGAGGACTTTAAATTTGCTCTAGAAGTAAGTCAATATAGACCTTTATCTTCTTATTTCTAAATAATTGTTCTCTAAAAGGAGGTTAATGTAGATCATGTTGTTACTTCTTATATCCAATTAATATTGCCCTAAAAAAAGTTTATGTAGACTTTCCTCTCCATACATGCAGCTAATTTTGTTCTCAAAGTATGTCACTATAGTCTCTTCTTTTCTAATTCATAATTACTTTTGATATGAAATTATATCGAACTCGTTAGTGTTAGCATCTTTCCATCTTTCCTGAGGATAGTGAGATCCTAGTCTGTACGTAGGCGTGGTAATCACATCCCATGGTCATGGCTCTCCGTGTGACCTGCCTTGTTTATTCCAGAGGAAGTGTAACACCAATACGTGTGAAACATATGACTGTCTACAGCCCATGCATTGTGCTGTAGACAGATGTAGCCTCATCACTGGCTGTACAAGAGATAATAATTCAACGCCTGCCTAAAGCATGCTGCAGAAGCTTGTCTAATCAAAAGAGCAGTGTCCCATCTGTCTTCTAATGGAGCTTCCCTCTTAGACAAGCTGTCAAACAGGGTCTGTCCTCCAGTGTTGTCCAAATTTCGACACAAATAGCTGACACATTGTGAATAGCTCTTTAATGACAGTTAATTGTCTTCGAGGAACTACTTCTATGGGATGTAACAAAACTCAAGTTTGACTTTTCACATTTATACATATGTATATATATATATCCAAAAAAATGTTTTCTTTTTTTTAAAAGTCTGATCCAAAAGTCTATTCACATAATAATTGTAGGCGTATTGTCACTACCTCCTAGATCTTGGCAGGGGCTGCAAGTTAATAGTGGTGTTGGGGAGGAAGGGATACGGGCCTCAGTATGCTGTTATCTTTAGGCACAAGCCTTGTCTGAGTATACAATAGTAATAATTAGATAATGGCAATAAAAAAATATAATATTACCCATGAAATACAATGAAATATAACAATGCAGCTACAATTAGGAACTCATTAAATGTTTAAATACGCCTACAATTTAAGAGGTTTTAAAATGTAAACATAACCTTAACATTTAGAACTTCTTGGATGTAGAAATACATGAACAGTTAAGCACTTGTTACAAGTATAAAGTTACCTAAATATAATAACTTTTAAATTCATAAGTATACTTGAAATTGAGATTTTCTTAAATGTATAAATACACATAAAATTGAGAACTACTTAACTGTACAATTGAGAACTTTTAAATGTATCAGTGCTGATAAAATTGACAGCGTTTACAACTATAAACAGATAAAATTGACAACGTTTACAACTATAAACAGATAAAATTGACAGCGTTTACAACTATAAACAGATAAAATTGACAGCGTTTACAACTATAAACAGATAAAATTGACAACGTTTACAACTATAAACAGATAAAATTGACAACGTTTACAACTATAAACAGATAAAATTGACAACGTTTACAACTATAAACAGATAAAACTGACAGCGTTTACAACTATAAACAGATAAAATTGAGAATTACTTTCTATGCTTGAGGATTGGGGTAGAGGGGGTTGAGACGCCCACTTAGCTCCCTTGCAAGTTTCCGTGAGAAGGTGCGCAACATCTTACTGTTGCAAAATATTCTGGTCGAGCCCAATGGATTGGCAGCCGATCGTTGTTTGATATTCGATCTACTCAAATTGTTCAACTATTAAAATAAGATCAGAGAAGGCTACGACTGTTCAACTCTTTGAGTCCCAGGGGGTTTAGCATCACAGGCCCAAAGTGTAGTCAAGAGAGACTTAAAATCGGCGCATCTTGCGTTCATTGGGCTTGAATGTATGAACCTATGAACGTATGATGAGTTCCTTGGGACTCAAAGAGTTAAGTGGTTGTTCGTGCAAGCTGGTTAACTATGCTTAGAAGTTGAATATTATTAGCCTTTTAAATTGACGCCATTCTGTATATGAAAAGTCATAGTGTGTCCAACTGTATCGTAAGTTAGAAGTCAGCCTAGGTCCTAACTTGACCATAGACAGGTATACCATGACTACTCTACCCCTATGCTAGTGGAAATCACACAAAATGTTCTTCCCTTTGCTATTCAAAAACCGGTGGAAACATCTCAGTCCAGGACAATCCAACAATGAATATGGCTGAAGCCGATGGTGATTCTCTGAAACAATTTGGAACTTCCGTGGTATTCTTAGATTGTGTTTATAATAGGTGATTTTCTGTAGAGGGTTCGTAATTCATAATGCCAATTCTTCACGTAGAATTGTGACATCACAAGCATTCACTGAACGATATGTGTGTGTGCTTTGCTCTAGAGGTTCAAGACCACGGATGTAGAATCAGAGAAAGACACTTTACTGTTTGCGATGTCCTGCTCTACAAAGATCTGGACTCTCAACAGGTCAGTTTGTTTGTTTTGACCTCTTAACTACGCAAACATGGGTGAGTTAGTATATCGGATAAGATGGTCGATACTCTAATAGGTGAGCTGATTGATTTTTTAAGTCGTGAGTTGGTTGATTGTCTAATGGGTAAGCTAGTTGATTGTCTAATGGGTAAGCTAGTTGATTGTCTAATGGGTAAGCTAGTTGATTGTCTAATGGGTAAGCTAGTTGATTGTCTAATGGGTAAGCTAGTTGATTGTCTAATGGGTAAGCTAGTTGATTGTCTAATGGGTAAGCTAGTTAATTGTCTAATGGGTAAGCTAGTTGATGGTGAAATGGGTAAGCTAGTTAATTGTCTAAAGGGTAAGCTAGTTGATGGTGAAATGGGTAAGCTAGTTAATTGTCTAAAGGGTAAGCTAGTTGATGGTCTAATGGGTACGCTGGTTAATTGTCTAATAGGTGAACTAGTTGATGGTCTAATGGGTAAGCTAGTTGATTGTCTAATGGGTAAGCTGGTTAATTGTCTAATAGGTGAACTAGTTGATGGTCTAATGGGTAAGCTAGTTGATGGTGAAATGGGTAAGCTAGTTAATTGTCTAAAGGGTAAGCTAGTTGATTGTCTAAAGGGTAAGCTAGTTGATTGTCTAAAGGGTAAGCTAGTTGATGGTGAAATGGGTAAGCTAGTTGATTGTCTAAAGGGTAAGCTAGTTAATTGTCTAAAGGGTAAGCTAGTTGATTGTCTAAAGGGTAAGCTAGTTGATTGTCTAAAGGGTAAGCTAGTTGATTGTCTAAAGGGTAAGCTAGTTGATGGTGAAATGGGTAAGCTAGTTAATTGTCTAAAGGGTAAGCTAGTTGATGGTCTAATGGGTACGCTGGTTAATTGTCTAATAGGTGAACTAGTTGATGGTCTAATGGGTAAGCTAGTTGATGGTCTAATGGGTAAGCTAGTTGATTGTCTAATGGGTAAGCTAGTTGATTGTCTAATGGGTAAGCTAGTTGATTGTCTAATGGGTAAGCTAGTTGATGGTCTAATGGGTAAGCTAGTTGATGGTCTAATGGGTAAGCTAGTTGATTGTCTAATGGGTAAGCTAGTTGATTGTCTAATGGGTAAGCTAGTTGATGGTCTAACGGGTAAGCTAGTTGATTGTCTAATGGGTACGCTGGTTAATTGTCTAATAGGTGAACTAGTTGATTGTCTAATGGGTAAGCTAGTTGATGGTCTAATGGGTAAGCTAGTTGATTGTCTAATGGGTAAGCTAGTTGATGGTGTAATGGGTAAGCTAGTTGATGGCATAATGGGTAAGCTAGTTGATGGTCTAATGGGTAAGCTAGTTGATGGTCTAATGGGTAAGCTAGTTGATGGTCAGATGAATAAGCTAGTTAATGGTGAAATGGGCAAGCTAGGTGATGGTGTAATGGGTAAGCTAGTTGATTGTGTAATGGGTAAGCTAGTTGATGGTGTAATGGGTAAGCTAGTTGATGGTGTAATGGGTAAGCTAGTTAATGGTGAAATGGGTAAGCTAGTTGATGGTCAGATGAATAAGCTAGTTAATGGTGAAATGGGCAAGCTAGTTGATGGTGTAATGGGTAAGCTAGTTGATGGTGTAATGAATAAGCTAGTTAATGGTGAAATGGGTAAGCTAGTTGATGGTGTAATGGGTAAGCTAGTGGATGGTCTAATGGGTAAGCTAGTGGATGGTGTAATGGGTAAGCTAGTTGATGATGAAATGGGTAAGCTAGTTGATGGTGTAATGGGTAAGCTAGTTGATGGTGTAATGGGTAAG